AAATTGAAGGACATAGTCTCCCAACTGCTGACAGGGCTGGGCACTGACTACCCTCCCTAGGAATTGCCCTCAGCTGAGGAGAACAAAAGTCCATGAAGGATTGTAAAGTTCCTTCTTCCACTAGCCCTGACTTGGGATAACTCTGAAAACCATTCCCTGCCTTTGCAGAGACTGCATCACAGCCCCACGTCTCCCTCTGCTGGCTCTTTCTTGTTCCCTTCCCTTCGTACGAGTGTTATTCCTGAGAGCAGCCCTTAATATTCTCCCAGTTCTCTAATCTCCATCGCAGAGTCGGCTTCCCTGGGAATCCAACCTTCTACAGCTTAGCATGCTTTTCTTGGGCCTGAAGAACAGCTAGAATTTGACTAAATAGTAAATGAAAACGATTAAAAATTGTAAGGAAACGTATTAAATGTTTGTTATATTCCTTAATATTTTTATTTAAAATGTTCCTCTATTTAAACAAAATGGCGTACTTATAATTAACATGTGAATATCTATACCTTACCCTCTTATACAGTCTGTATAGAAAAAGTCACTAAGAGCAGTGACAATATGCTAATTAATGTATAGTTCTATATTAGTTTCTATTGCTGGTATTAACAAATTGTCACTAATTTATACTACTCAGCCATAAGGAAGAATGGAATCATGTCTTTTGCAGCAACATGGATGAGATTAGAGGACAATATCTTAAGTGAAAAAACTCAAAAACACAATGTCAAACGCTACATGTTTTCACTTATAAACAGAAGCTAAATAATGTTTACACATGAATATAGAGAGTGGAATAACAGACATTGGAGACTCAGAAGCCTGAGAGGGTGGGAGGGGATGAGGGATGAAAAATTACTCAATGGGTACAATGTACACTGTTCTGGGGATTGGTTGCACTAAAAGCCCTAACTTCACCAATACGTACTATACACCTGTAAAAAAAACTGCGCTTGTATCCCCTAAATCTATAAAAATAAAATAAAATAAAATAAATTTTAAAAATACAGAGGCTTAAACAACATTGGGACCTCAATGGGCTAAAATCGAAGTATTGGCAAGGCTGTGTTCTCTTCTGGTGGCTCTAGGGGAGAATCCATTCCCTTGCACTTTCCAGCTGCTCGAGATCACTCCCCTTTCTTCACTGGGAATCGCCTTCCCTCATCTTCAAAGCCAGCAACTGTGCATCTCTCTGAAGGTTCAGAAAGTCTCAACCCATTCTTCAAGGAGTCAGGTCTCCCTCTGGCTCTCTTCTTCTGCCACTCTCTTCCAATTTTAAATATTATGTGATTACACTGGACTCACCCAAATAATATGAGATGTTCTCCCTATTTTAAGGTCGGCTAATTGAATACAAATGTGATTCTATCTGTGGCCTTAATCTGTCTTTGCTATGTAACCTAACATAGTCACAGATTACAGGCATTAGGATGCAGTCATTTTTGAAAGACCATTATTTTGCCTACCACAAATTCCTTCATAGTGCCTAGGAAAAAATGTCTTTTCCCCCCGATCTTATGTTTCATAACTCAGTTAATGAACCTCCATGACTTGCTGTTATAATATGTAATTATCTGGTCAGTAGAATTAATAATTACTGGCAACTACCAAAACTACTTTTTTGCTTTTTGTTATCAGTAAATAACAGCTAGTCACACCCACTGGCTTGGAAGTTCCTTAAGGTCAGGCACCATGTCTTTTTTATTTCTGTAACATGTGGAACTTAGCTCGTTGGCTGCCAGCTTGTCAATATACTGATGATGAAGCTGAATGGTTGTGATGATTGATTATGTTCATGTTCAGTTAACAAAACCAGAGGCCCACTGTCTCTTTCAGTGGCTCTTTTACACAGAGCAGCAATAAACAGCATAATTCAGATTCTTCTCTCATGAAACTTACCAATTTCCACATATGAGTATTTAGTGTCATTCGGTATCATTTGCTCACATAGGCAAAACTATTTCTGTTTAACTCCTACATTCCAAGAGTCTGCCTTGTACTTTATGGTTGCCATTTTGGGTAGCAGCCATTAGTAGATTTGGCTCCCCCTATTGGTGTGGGGAGGGTTGGTTTCTTAACAAACAGTTGTGTACTATTATTAACAATAATGTTAATAATAGTAGACCCTACACTGTATTTTGTACACATACACACACACACACACACACACGCACACAGACAACCTCATTAATTTAATCATTGAAGACTGCTATAAGATAAATATATCTTCATTTACAGATCAGGAAAAATTTTCAGAAAATTATACAATCACATATCTAGGAAGCGACAACCAGAACTCCAGAGTAAAGAAGCAGAGAGGTAATAGTAGTCTTGTAACACATCACTTTTCTGACCAAATAACAGCATACATGATATTAATACTTCTGATCAAAAATAAAAGTTAAAAAATGTCATACTGTTTTAAATCAAGGGAAATTAATTAACCAGCTCCATTTGAATCATACAATCAAACAAGTCACTTCCAGGCTTAAACTGCTTTTCATTCTGCACACATAAATGATCATCCTCTTAAGGCAGATCCTCTAGGTAAAACTTTAAATTAATGAAAACTGTATTTAGAATAAAATCAAAACCTCTTTCTACATCTCACAAGGGTCTATACAATCCGACTCTCCCACTCCATCCAGCTTCACCTCTGACTAGCTAGGCTGCAGCCAAACTGGAATCCCATAAATTCTTCAAACGCAAGCTCTTCACTGCCTTGGATCGTTTTCTGAGCTGTTGTCTTCTCTCCCTATCTCCTTGCGTAGGTAATGTCTTCTCATCCTTTAGAACGCAGTTTAAATACAAGTTTACATTATTCAATCATAAGAAACGACAGTGATCTAGAACTTCTTATACTTTCCTGGATTAAACTTAAGCCCATTATCCAAAGCGAGACACCACAAGATTGGAAGAATGGGCTCCACTTGCACTCGCCATCAAATTGGTACTAACTGATGAACACTAGGATGATCACATGGAAGTAATACTCTCCAGGGATTAGGGGGATGGGGGTTAAACCCGCAACTAAAGGGCACGGGGAGCATTGTGGGGGAAAGGGCATGCCCCTAACCCTCGCTTGGGTGAGGCAAAAACATAAAGTGTAACCATAATGTTTGTACCCTCATAATACCCTGAAATAAAAAATAAATAAATAAATAAATAAATAATGTTTACCAGAGAAATCTTCCTGGAGTATTCTAGCTAAAATAGATCCTCCTCCCCACCCTATTATCATCCACCAAAGCACCCTTAATTGTTTCCTTCCAAGCATCCAGTGTGATTTGTGTTTATAAGTTTATTTACTTATTGTCTGTCTCAATGTGGGGATGGGTATTTGCTGATATACTTGATGGTCTTACACCCTTACGTACTTTCTGAATTCAATATTGAATAAATACTTAATACCTTTATTATCTGAGCTTTTGTATCTCATGCTCTGCTTTAGCTGAGGCTTTTGTTGTTTTAACCTGCTTTGACATCCTGGATTTATAATATAATTAGGATAAGAAATGTAAGGTAGAGTTTATACAGGATATATATTGCAAAGATTTTGAGAGTCACCACACAACTAAACATACAATATTTACAGTAATTGTTTTAAAATAAAAGCAATCAGAAAAGAAAGCAAAGGTTTTCTTTTTAAAAAAAATTAATTTGTAACCTTGTAAATATAAGTTTTTTGTCCCTTTTGTTACTCAGTTACTTTTGCTCTGAGTAAATGTCAATTTCCAAATTTGTGTTTATTTATTTTCTTGTTCTATGGGCTTATCTATTGCTTTTAATTATTAATGTATTGAAAAATACAAAAATTAGTTGTTGCCATTGAGAAGCAACTTTTACATGCATGCAGTCACACACAATTAGAGATTTTGAGATTTAATCTATTCATAATAAGTTCTCTACAATCCCATTTATTTCGTATCTTTTTCCAATATTTTTTCCTTTAAACATCTTATGCTTTGGATGTATAATGAAAAATATAATTTATGATATGGAAAAAGAAAATCTGCTTTCTGAAGATTATATTGTGCCAGGTATACCTTCTAATCATATTTATTTCAGATAACTTCTTTTATAAACAACCAATGTGGTACTAGATAGAAACATTTGTAACATTTCAGACACTTATTGTTCCTTAAACACACATCAAACTAGAAATCGGTAAACTTTATTTAGACTGAATTTTACTTTTCTTATTTAAATGTGAAGTAGACACTGGACTTTTTGATAACTTTTCAGAACTCTGCTTATTTTGGAATAGGTATGTGAACATTTTGCTAATCATCATACATTCAAAAGTGTTGCTTAACATTTTCTAAAATGCTGAAATATGTTTTGACAATTTATGTTTTAAAGTTAAAATACTTTATCTGTACTCTTGAAGAGAAAACTCTCCTACTAAGCTTTTTAGATTTGTGCTAAAGTGTAAATACTCATAAAATAGACAAAAATATAGCTATTTTATTTGTGGTTTAAGTGACCTGAGACCCTTTGAATATAACCTTTCAAAATTTGCTTTCTAACTAGATTGTAAAAGTCAAGTTTAGTGATACTGTTGTCTGCTTTAAGAAATGTTGATAATCTTGATTCAGATTCATCTGTCATCAGTGATAATCATGTTTTACTTCGGGTTAATGCTCTTTAATGCTAAGGAAAATAGGGAATATACTCTCCTTCCTCTCATGTTTTGCTTTAGGGAAGTGAAGCTTCGCCCCAACCACCTCCTTCTCTCCTGTTTCAACATTTCCAGTGTTGAGATAATTTAGAATCTGTGTGGATAGAAAGAAATCCATTTTTAAAATAATAATTCCTACATTTTTCATGTAAACATATTAAATCATGCAAAACCTTAAACATATTTGGGAGTTCCATCAGCTACTCAGTTAATAATTTCAGACAGCCTGCAATGTTGGCACTAAACTATTCTGATGTAAGTGAAAGAGCTTTTGTCTCCCTTCTGTGCTGTAATTCACATTTTGTTGGGCTTTTGATGTTTCTAGATATCCGTGGAATACAGGAATTTTTGGACAAAGTATCTCAGCAGGGGATGGATGTTGCACTTCAGAAGGTAGAAAACAATATCAATAAAATGATCACCACTCTCTTCGATACCATGAGAATAGAGGAATTGAATCGCTATCGAGACACTCTTAGGCGAGCCATCCTTGTTATGAATCCTGCCACGGCCAAATCCTTCATTACTGAGGTGAGTAAAAATTTTCATGGGGTAGGGCTAGGGTGGAAAAATTAAATGCTTCAGAAGAGATCCCACAGAGGAGATGAAAAGTAAGAGCAGTGTGAGGGAATTAACTGCACAACTCTCATTAACACTAATGAAGGTAGCGCGATGAATTCCTTGCTCATCTCATTTACCCCTTACTGTCCAGTTAATTGCTGAGAATGTTTGTATGTATATATGTTTAGGCACATAGCCAGGACTGTTTTAAGAAGTCTTATGGGATTTTAAAAGTAGTGTCGACCTAAATGAATCTAGCGAGTTCAAGAATGAATTCACAAATGCACAGCTCTCTAACTAATTTTTCAAGTTAAAATTTTGCTTCTGAGCAAAGATTTACTTGAATCGAGATATTATTGCCTAAACATGACTATTTTTACAAAAACATATAGCAGGCTTACTTCTCTGTGAACTCTGTACCAAGACAAATAATTAAAAGTGTCTGAAACCCTACAAGGTGATGAACATTGTACATTTTAGATGCTGCATGTTCAAACTTTTAATTGTATCTATTCGTTTGGATAGAAGCTCTGAAACTTTGTAAAAATACAATTAAGACTTTCTAGTGATTGGTGTAACATCTCTATGTTCTAAAATGCCTGCTGTTTACTGACTTGCAAAGGATTATTGTGAAGTCATTTTTGCCTTACTTCAAGTTTTTAATTTTATATAGTGATAGACCTGGTCATGGCATTACATATTTTCACATGGGTTTTATTGTTAATGTTTTTAATTTTGATGACTTTATTTGATTAATACTTTTTTCCTCACTTTGCCAATATGCTTCTGTTAGCTTCCAAAGTACTGCCATAAAGCCTCCAGATTAGGAATGTGTTAGAAGTTCTTTGACACTCTGTAATATAATTGGTATCAAAAAACTTGAGACGAATATAAATCACTAAGAAGAATAAAACTTGTAGAAAACTATCAGTAATACCAATTTTTTTTATTTTAATAGGGAACTTTGTTATGCAGTTTAAGAACAAATATAAAACTTTGACTCTTTAAGGTTAGCAAATAAATTGAACCACTAGATTTTTCCATAATAGAAAGAATATTTCCAATTTTTCAGGGGTTGGTTGTTTCCTTTGAGAAACACAAAATCTTCTAGAAGATTGAGAGCAAGTACACAGAAATGTAATATGAATTGAAGTGTTAAAATTGCAATGGATGAGCTTGAAGCATCTGTGGTCATTTCTGGCTGGGGAGATCAGAGAAAGCTTCATTGTGAAGGAATAGTTGAGCTGAACTTTGTGCCATGGGTAGGAATTTACAAAAGTGGTATATAGCTGACAAATATAAGTCCTTCTCAACCACTTTCTGGTCACGTGTTATGGGCAAATCACTTAACATTTCTGAGCCTCTATTTTTTTCATCGGTAAAATTAGAATAATATATTGATTTTAAAATATTAATAGTGTAATGTAGATTAATGAGATATCCTATAATATACCTTCTGGGGGAGAGGGCCTGACCTAGTAGATGCTCAAGAAATGTTAACTTCTAAACCACTTTTTCAACCACATAACACAGTACCTGACACATAGTAGATGCTCAAAAACTGCTTACTAAAGTGAAAATAATGTCAAAATAAGCAGAGGCACGGGCCCTGATTGTATGCTCAGAGTAGAGCAGGTAGTTTGATGTGGATTAACAGTAGGAAACATGAAGAGCAATAGCCCACATTGTGTGAAACATGGATTTATACCAAATGCCAAAAGCCCTCTAATGTCAGGGTAACAATGCCTCTATCTTTAATAATCAGAAGCACTAGGCTTACAGCGGGGATGATAGGATCAGGGCTTTTGCTATCGAGTGTGTCTGCAGGTGGGGAGCCTTACGAAGTGATCACCCCCTTTCAGATAGAGAAGATGATGATCTGTGTGCAGGGCTGGTTACGGAACACAGGACCATAGGGATGAGGGTGACTCTGGGGCAGCTTGTGGTCAGGAGATGAAGAATAAGAGAAAATTTTGAAGTTTTTACATTGGGTACCAGCAGAGAATGGCGGTGTATCCTTTTGCTAGAACTTTCATAACAAAATGCCACTAACCATGTTCCTTAAGCAATAGAAAGGTACTGTCTCACAGCTGTGGAGACGTATGTGGAGGCTTATGGATGGCTGTCTTCTCCCCATGTCTCTTCATGTCGTCCTCTCTATGCACATGTTTGTGTGTCCAGGTTTCCCTTTTGTAAGGACACCAGTCATTTTGGATCAGGGTTCACCCTAATGACTTCATTTTAACCTGATTACCTCTCCAAAGACTTTATCTCCAAAGAAGGTTACATTCTAAGGTACTGGGTGTTAGGACCTCCCTGTATGAATTTGGGAAGCGGGGCAGTAATGATGTAATTTAACCCATAACAAGTGCCATTCATTAATTGTTATGATCAAATAAGGCAGAGGAGTAGGTCTGAGAGTTTAATGTGGAATATGTGAAATTTGAGCTAGCAGTAGACTAGCCAATTCATCATAACTGTGTTTTAACACTTATGCTACTTACTTAATACCTCTTTTCCTAAGGTCTTTATACATGATGAACTTACATAATCTTCATAAAAAGCTTATGCATTGTTATTAACTTTATCTTTGTTTTACAAATAAAGAAACCGAGGCACATAGAGTTCAAGTAAGTTGTCAAGATGACATGACTAGTACAAGGAGATCTGGGATCGATTCCAAGCAGTTTGCCTCTAGAGTTTGTGTGCATAACCACAGTTCCCAGAAAGGGTAGTTGTGAGTGCATGACCGGAGTCCAGGAGAAAGATCAGTGCTGACACAGTTTATTTTTTTCAGTCAGGTTAACAAACATAGATTCACTATCCGGTTTATCCTACAAACTATGCTAGGCCCTAGAGCCACATAATTATGATGAAGATCTAGATCCTTTCCTCAAGTGTGTAGCCTGATGCTGGGGAAGGAAAAGGAACGTCAGCATTATAAGCTGATGCGCTGGTAGCACACACACATCTACCCTGGGCCACAGAGCTGCCTGTCAAGGAGGGAGAAGTGTTAAGGAAGGAGTTGGTCGTAGATGGAGTCCTGAAAGAGGTGCATTTTGAGTTGAGCACTAAAGGACATGTGGACTTGGATCAGGCACAGAAAGAAGGGAAGGGCATTCTAAGCAGCAAGAAGACCATGAACAAAAGCCTAGAGGCAGGGTGTGGAGCAAGACTGCGGAGGGCCAAGGAAGAACTGGATGAAGGTGGGCATGTTGACTAGTCTGTTAAGAACTTCAGTGATGAAAGTAAAGATAAATTATGTTTAAAAAGGCTTTTTAAAACCCTAGTGATGGATATCAGAAGCAGGCATATCTGCTTCATTTTTAGGATAGAACAAGCTAAACCTTTTATACAGATTTTGAAAAGCAACCAGTGAAAAGGGAGAGATTGTAAAATGGAGAGGGAATACTGATGAGGTAAGATCCCAGAGTGTTAGAACTCAGGAAGGTCTCTACCAGGGGAGGGCTAGTCACGACGAATAACCTAAAATTGCTGTTTCAAAGGTAGATGAAGTCAGTTCAGACTTTGTTAAAAGAATTTTCTCTGACCATCCTTGTATTCCTGATAATCAATTTGAATCAATATAATCCTGACGTGTAGTCTCACCTTGGCTCCCTGTCCTCAATTCCGAACTTTGATGCTTGTAAAAATGTGCTGATCCCATCTTTGTTCCCAAACACATGAAATCTGTGCTTGTGATTCTTTCATGAGAGTCTTCTCTGACTTTCCCCACTCAGCCACCATTTCTTTTCCAGTAACTTGTCTTTTACAATCATTGATTTTATGTCTCCAAACTGTAGACAAGTTTATTCCACAAATGCCTCAAGCAGCGATGTGGGAATGACAGAAGGAATGTGAACCACTGCCACCTCCACCTCCATCCTGAGCTGGCTGCATAGTATGTTCTCTGACCTGCATGGGGGTTCCTGTATCAAATTAGCTGCTGTCAGACATGTCTCAGCTCTCTCCTGGGTTCTAGGAGTGCCCCCGCTTAGGGGAAGCTGTTTACTCGAAAGGCAGGCAGCTCTGCCTTCAAAAGAACCCACTGAAGTTCCAGAGGCACAAAGAGGCATCATTTCTGAATGACCTACAGTGTGATTCAGTCTAGTGGAGGAGGCAGGCATACAATTAAATAATAAAGCATGAAAGGAAAATGCTGTGATAGTGATGGTGAATGGTGTTCTGAAATACCGAAGGAGACCTGAGAATTGCAGAGAGTTTAGCTGGAGTCAGGACAAGTTTCACAGATAAGTTCCTTCAGCAGAATCTTGAAAAATGAATACGCATTCATCAGGCAGACAACGGTGGGCGAACAGTAATTCAGACAGAGAGATAGGTATGGATAGAGTTAAAAAATCAAATTTAACCAAGGGTTTTGTAATGAAAAACAAGAGTCTCTTGTCCACTTCTTTCTACCCACAATTATTCTTCTCAGAAAGAATTACTTATTTTTAATTTTTAAAATTTAATTTGTATTTCCTTTTTAGAATATTCTGTGCATTCACATGGTTCCAAATCTAAAAGGCCTCCTGGCCCTGTTTTTCAAACATCTGATTGATTTCCTTCTCACGAAGCAAATAATGTGTCTCGTGTGGCATTCCAGGTGTACACACATACACATACATACACATACATGCTTTTTATTCTTTCTTGCACAATTAGTAATATACTAGGTATAAATTCTGTGCTTGCATTTTTTTACTTAGCAACATCTAGGAGATCTTCCTATTGAGATATATGAAGTGTTCCTCATAATTTTTAATGGAGAGATTAAGTCACTCTTAGCTCTTTAAATTTTTTTCTGTTTTACTTGTGCTGGTGAATATTATTGGTTAATTTATTATCTTATCTCCTGCTTGTTTTCTTTCTGATATAAGGAAAGATTTAGCTCATTTATTTCTCCCACATGCACACATCTTTTCAATGCAGTTATAATACAATTTTAAATAAATTTAAATAATACAGTT